TAGATATATTAGTAGTACATTCTTGGTTAACGAAAGTATATTGCGCCTTTTGAGCACCTAATTAAGTAGCTATCTATTACTAGGGTCTATACTAGATGCCATACCTATAACCCACTATTATTTGAGCTATCTAATTAAACTTTCTAGTATCCTCTGTTCTGCACCACCATCTTAATTACACCAACCTATAACCTTGTGCTGCTTCATTGAAAACTACTCAGATCGATATGTGCTATACTACTTGTGCACTAATTCGATAGATAACATAGTAGGGTTCTCATACTTACCAGGTTAACCTAGAGAAGATGTAGTATATACTTTCTAATCTTTCTATATTGCATACATTTCTAGACTAGTCCTTTTTAGTAACTTATGCCGAGTCCGAGGACAAGTATTTGCAAGCCGAGGCTGCTACAGTTATCTACTACTACCCTTATAGAGTTCACCCAAATCCTAATATCTACTTTATGGACTCCCTCCCATACTTCTGAAAACCCAAACTCCCAATCCAATAGCCTGGAAGGACAGAACCCTTCCTCTGATTATCTGACAGCCTGATTGGTATAGTGCCTTGCCAAACACCTTGGTCCTGTCTAGTTTTTCGGTATCCGGTTAATCATCCTTTACATAGTAACCGTTAAAGATCTGTGCTACCTCTCTACTCAGATCTTGCCAAGCAGGCTTTCTTATCCTATAAATTTGCTGTATTTATCTGGTAGCTTCACTCAGATTTTGTGTAACTCATACATCACACTACATGTTCTACTACCTCCTAGTACAAGCTGATATAACTATTATTACAGGTTCTATAACGCAATAAGATACAGTCTTCCAAATGTATTTTCTATAAATTCAAAATTTTGTCATTGATGGGATTCAAACTCTAGTTCTGCTGCTTGAAGGTGTGACAACTTGCTAACTTCACTAAGTCACCACACCATTTTATAGCTTATTAAATATATATATTGAACTAATTTTTTTTATAAATAACTAATTTTTAATTAAATATTTGGTTTTAGTTTTGGGTATTTAGATGATGAGAGAACCTGATAGATCACAAGCAATAGTTTTAATTAGGTATTTGAGTCATACAATTATTTCTGGGTGCTCAGATACAATTTGTCTCAATAGCTTTTAGTCTCTTTCTGGATTCAAAACTTACTAAGAACGATTTTTTTATTAATTACAGACTAGTAGCTATATATCTATATTAGAATTAAATTATTTTTATATAAACAAATATAAACAAATTTAAAGAGTAAAGAAAAAAAGAGAGAAATATCATAATATCAAATTCTAATTCATCTAAACAAATAAAACTAAATAACACAAATAATAAAAAACAAAAATAAAACAAAGAAAAAAAAACAATAATAGTACTATTAAATCTATGCAGAATTATAAAATTATATAGTACTACTAAATAGGCTAGTTTATACTCTATACTAGCTATTTATTTCTATATTCAGAATGTAAAACTTTATCAAAACTATTCATTCTTATATAGAAATTCAAGTTCGAAATTTTTTTTGTGTTTTTATCTAAAATTTTTTTTTTAAATATTGTTTATCTAAAATGTTTTTTTTTTTTTTTTTTTTTTTTTTTTTTTTTTTTTTTTTTTTTTTTTTTTTTTTTTTTTTTTTTTTTTTTTTTTTAATTTTTTTTTTTTTTTTTTTTTTTTTTTTTTTTTTTTTTTTTTTTTAAAGTGAGGTTTTGCCTTTATTTTTATTAATAGTTTGTATTGAGGATCCACTATGAGTTCCTCTGGCCAGAGCTAATTTATAAAAATTTTTACAAAAATAAGACTTAGATTACCAGAAACTATCTAAACTAGAAATTCTAATTCATCTATAATTTAAACCTACTAGAGTAGTTAAAACTCACCTAGATTTGATAATATAAAATATTATTCATTAGAGTACTATATTTAATCTATATAATAGTCCATAAAGATATTTTTCTAATTGCTTTGCCGAGAGGTAGACAAGTGTTATTATTATATTGTTAGTCTGGCAGACCACAAAGGCAGTTATAGATATATGGAATTCTATATTGTATTGTGTTTTGAGTAGTTGTTGTGTAAACATTTGTTATATTACGGTTGGGTCTAGAAAAGATATTATTTTGTTGTTTCCATTGTATGAATTTAGAACAATATAGTATTCATAACTGGTTGTATATGTTTTGTAATAGTTGTAAAAGTAGTTGAATAGTTATTTTTGATACAATTTAAGTAGTATCTGTATACTCTCTTATAGTCTGTATTAGGGATGTGGAGATAAACCTTTGTATAGTTTTATATAGATTGATATTATTATACTAGTAATTGAATAAAAAGCTTGGGTGGTTTATAAGCTTGGTTTGTAGTTCATATAGTTGTGTATTAGTAATATCTAGTCTGAAATGTTAAAGAAATTGTTATATAGTATTGGTAATAAGTGTTTAATTTAGATGTATCTGGACAGATAAGCCAGTGTTCTTGACTCTCTCTTAAATTACATGTTATACAGTTGTCTGTTGGGATTGTTAATGGATATAATATATGTTAGTATATTAAAGTAGGAAGTAACTTAAGTAGGGTTGGCAAAAAGCATGTTTTTTATTTTCTTGTGTTTTAAAACATGTTTTAAAACATATTTTGTATTTTTTATTAAATAATAAAAAAATTTATACTTTATAAATATAATTTTTTAAGTATATAATATGAAAAATACCAAAATACACTAGTAATATTTGATATTACATATATTTTTGCTATGAAATTTAGAGCAAAATGCACTAGTGGTGTTTGACACTATATATATTCTTTGCTATAAAATTTAGGGCTAAAATAGAGTTATAAACTAAGAAAAGATTAGATATAAAGATTCAAATATTGGTTAGTATAAGGTTTTTGAAAATTTTAAATATTTTTACTTAATATATCTGATTTTGGTTTTTAGTTAATTGTTTGAGATTTAATAATTGTAGTATTGAATATTACTAATATATTTTAGTAAACTTGTATAATATAGTTTAAAAATTTTTTAGATATTAGAAGGATTAATAAAAAATTTTTTTTAACCTATTGTCTACTTTTATTATGAAAAGTCCTATATATCATATGATTAAAATTCTATACTATGATTGGCTTATAAATAAATATTGTTTTTTATTGTTTTTTATTAAAAATTTAGATGTTTTAAAACATTTAAAACATGTTTTAAAACAGGTTGTTTTAAAACATTTGCCATCCCTAGACTTAAGCATCAGTTTAATCTTGTAAGTCTTTTGCTGATATAATTTAAAGTTAATGTAGATTGTTGATCTTTTGTAATTGTTATTTAAATATAGCCAAGTTGCATTTCAATTAATTTAAGGTAATATGGATATAATATTATTTATTTAGTATTGAGATGACCACATTGCTATAATATGAGCATTGCATATATTTTTAATAGATCTATGAGTAGGTTGTTTAAATATATATCGTTCATATTGAATTTGATAGGATGGATTATATATGTTGTTATTTATGAATTGAAGTGTGATTGAATAATTGGCATTTTTAGCTAGTCTGTTAACTAAGTTGTTAAAGGTATTGTCACTGTGTGCTGTGACCTTTTCAAGTTGAATGTTAAGCTCGTAAGCATTAATCAGATTAAGTAAAGTATACCATATTGACCAGTAGTTATAGGAGTATCTTTTGTTTAATATGGATGGTGATTGTATAAGCTTCTTGTATTTGAATATGATAGATTGTGAAACTGTGTAAATGATAATAGAACTATTTTTAAAACAAGTGCTAATAGTAGAAAGTATTGCAACAAGTTCGGCTTTGTAAGATAATGGCCAAAGTTTAATTTTTGCAGAATAAGAGTAGATAATAGTATTATTTTGAGTTTGGACCTATCCAACCTTCATAGGACATTATTCTGTAATGATATCTCTGACAGAACCATCTGTATAGAATGTTAATTGAGAATAAGTTGAGTTATTTTTTGCAATTTGTATTAATGTCTGTAAAAGTTGGTTATCAATAAAAATTTCAGATATTGCAATTATAATTTTTAGATTAGCTTGTGAAAATACAAGGTTAAGAAGGAGAGTTTGCAAGTTGAAAAGCCTGCTACAAACACGAGCTTTGTAGCTTGATGAGGCTTTACAAGCAAGGATTAGAGAGTTGATGTTGGAAGTTAAAAATCGTAAGTTATATTTAAAAGAGGAGATTAGAGAGAACCAAGAGCATAATTCCAATTATGCACTTTTGGTTCGAGAAAGAAGTGTATTAAGGTCTAGAATAGTGAACCTGAAGGTTTTGTTATACATTACCTCAAATTAAAATATTTTAATAAAAAAATTTTTATAAATTTTCTATTATTTTGTTATTTGTTCCTCAGTTAATTTTTCTATCATTAATACTGTGATAAATTTTATTCTATAAAGTTGTTTGACTCCAACATTATAATAAATATTATAAATTCTTTCACTCGATTTCTATCTTTAGCTGATTTGTCTTTTTTAAGTTCTTTCGTAAGTTTTTTCCTAATTTCATTAAGAAACCTTTTATCAACTTTATTCTTAATTCTTAGTTCATCTAAATAATAATCAGCTTTGAGTTTTGCAATTTAAGCATTCTTTTGATTCCTATATTGATTAATTTTAGTTATGATTTTGTTTAATACTTCTAAATTATTATTGCTTGTAAATAGTGAACTAAAAACTTCATTATTCTTGGTCAGATGATTAAGATCTTTAATAATTTTGTCAATAGTTAACTCCTCTTTGTAACTTCCTTCGTTAAGATTATTTAACAAATCAAAATTATTTATTGCATCTTCTCTTTGGTAATAGGCTTCTATAAATGGATCTGTAATATTGCCTTGTAGTAACTCAGTCCAAAAGTTTTCTATTTTCAGTTTTATTTGTTTTAAATATATTGTTTTTAAAGTAAAAATAAATGATATAAAGATATGATGTAGTATATTTTTATAAGTTTTAGAGGAGTACAAAATAGATTATTAATTATTTGTGACAGAAGTTTGTATAATAATTATTTGTAATACTGGAAGGCTATGTAAGTCTCAATCAAAATATAGCTTTAATTGGTCACTATATACTGAATCTTTAACCTTTTTGTAATCTAAAGTTTTTAATTTATATATTCCAAAAGATAAAATATCGTAAATAATATAAGGCCAATAAATTATTCTTCTAATTTTGCAGAGAATATATTTTTTAGTTGGGATTTATAAACTAAAACTTTGTTACCAATTTTTAGTTTGTCGATTTTAACTTTGTTGGTATATTTTTCTTTTTGAATATTTTGTGCTTCTTGAATATTTTGTAAGGCTTCATCTTGTTGTTTTAACAAGATATCCTCTATTTCAAATATTCTTTTTAATAAAGCATCTTAATATTCATCATCATTGTTATAATAGGTTTCTTTTATAGTTTCTATAAAAAGTTTAGCTTCTCTTCTATATAGTAGAGAGAATGATAAGAATTTAGTAGTTTCATATTTCATAGTTTGATAAGCTAATAATACTGAAGAAAGTATTTTATCTCATTCTTTGTATTTATAGCTTACTATTTTTGCTAGAGCTTTACTAATTATTTGATTAAATCTCTCTATCATACTATTTGTTTGAGGTCAGTATGCTGATGATTTAAAATATTTTATTTGAAATTTAAAGCATAATTCTTTGACAACATCACTTAAGAAATTAGTTTCTTGATTAAACTGTATAATCATAGGGGCTTTATATTGACAAATTAATTCTTCATATATAAAATTGGCTACTGTAGTTGCTTTAATATCAGTAATTACTTTTGCTTCTGGCTATTTGGTAAGATAGTCTATAGCAACAATTATATATCTATTGCCTTGTTTAGTTATTGGTAAGAGTTCTTTAATATCAATCTCAATTTTAAAGAGAGGTCTTTTTACTTCTATTGGTCTTAGGTCTTGTCTTCTAATTTCATATCCTCTGCATTAGCATATATTATATATCTGAATATAATTTTTAATATCTTTATACATGTTTAGCCAAAAATATCTTTCTTTTATTTTGTTGTAAGTTGATCTGATTCTAAGATATACTCCTTGTTCATCGTATCGTGAATATAATATAGTATATTTTTGATAATGTTTAATTACTCTAAGATGGTTGTTTTTATATTGACGAAATAGATTTTCTTCTATTATTAAATAATTATTTGCTTCTTTATATAAATGAGATTTTTCCATATTAGAGATGTCCAGTAGATATTTAAGGTGAGATAAATAGTTATAAATATTTGTATATTGTTATTCATCTATTGTCTGTGTTTAGATATTCAGGTAAGTATGAGAAGAAATTAGTATTTTTGTTCCGGCTACTAGCACAATACTTAATATTATACTGATATTCTTATAGAATTAATTGTCATCAAGTGATTCTCTTATTATCATTAATTGTGAATGAATTTAATAACTACTGTAATGCTTTGTGATCAGTAATTAAAGTAAATCTCATCCTATATATATAATGTCGAAAATATTTAATAGCCTGAATTACTGCTAAACATTCTAGCTCAACAGTACTATAATTCTTTTTTGCAGGAGTTAATGTTCTGCTAGTATAGGCTTTCACATGTTTCTTTTCATCTTTTATTTGTGATAATATGGCTTCAAGTCCTTGATAAGATACATTAGTGAATATAATGAAAGGTTTATTATAATCAGAGTATTGTAATATTGGAGTAGTAACTAAACATTGTTTCAAATAATTAAATATTTTGTTATGCTCTTCAGTCTAAATAAATTCTATATCCTTATATAATAATTTGTTTAAAGGCGCAGCAGAACTCTGAAATATACATAAATAGGTCAGGTATAAGTTTGCTTATTTTTGAGGTTTTTTATACAGATCTTTTCTATTTATAGTAATTTTTTGCTTATTTTTGAAGTTTTTTCTGCATATCTTTCCTTTTTTAGCAAACCTATAATTAACCTTATCTATCTATGTATATTTTGGAGTCCTGACACAGCCTTTTTAGTAAAGTTTTCTATAAATCGACGATAATAGGATGCCAGTCCTATAAATGCTCTTAACTGAGTAATATTTTTTGGGTAGAGTTATCTTTTCAAGTTTATCAACCTTTTGTGAATTAGGTTTGATACTATTTATTCCAACTATATATCCAAGAAATTGCATTTCATTAATACAAAAATGGCATTTTTTAGGATTAATTCGTAAATTTGCATTTTTAATTAGGGTAAATATTGCTTTTAAATGATCAATATGTTCCTCAAATGTTTTTGAATATATATTAATATCATCGATGTAAACCATAGTATACTTCCAAAGAGCTGGTTCTAATACAACATCTGTTAATTTTTAGAAAGTAGAAAGTGTATTACAAAGTCCAGAAGGTATGACATTAAATTCATATAGACCAAACTTTGTAATAAATGCAGTCTTTTCTTTATCCTCTTCTTTTACTTCAACTTGCTAATAACCTGAAGTTAGGTTAAGAAAAGTAAACCATTTTGCTTTTCCTAGATTGTCCAATATTTTATCAATATGAGGTAGAGGATAAGTATTCTTCTTTGTTATAGAGTTTAGTTTTCTATAATCTACACAAAATCTAAGCTTTTTATTTTTCTTTTTAACAAGAACTAGGAACTCCAAGGGCTTTTTGATTTTTGAATTATTTCTTCCTTTTCTATTTTAGCAATTTCTTCTTTTATATGTCTTGTTTTATAAGAGATGCTTGATATGCTCATTGTTTAATAGAGTATTCATTAGTTGTATATATACTATGATAAACTATATTTGTTTGTTTTAGCTCAAAAAATTAAGTAGCAAATATATCAGAATTTTTTTTTAGAAAATTTGATACAATATTTTGTTGTTTCTGATTCAGATTTGTTCCTATTAATGTAGTTTTATCTTTGGTTATATTATAAATTCTTGAAATAGCGAGCATGAGAATTATATTGAAAATTGCACTCCCTAAAAATTTTATATCTGGTTTCAAAATAAGGCCCATACGCGTTCTGAAATAATGTGTACTCCATTATATATTTCATATGGATGTTATTTTGAAAAACTCTATATTCAAAAAATTAGCTTAATTATTTAAAATAATGTCTATAGGTGTATTTAAAATAGTGCGCACATAGTCAAAATAGCATATCCCTACCCGCTATTTCAAGAATTTACAGTATTGATTTTATTAAATGGTGGTAGTTCATTTTTAGCTTCAATTTCTGGTTTAATCATTTTGAATAGGTTATCAACTTCTTTTGTTCTTTTATTTTCACTATTTTTAATCCTGTTATTAGGCATCATATTACTATTAAATTAGAAAAAGTATTTGTTTGTTTTGATTTTAGTGGTAAAGTATCGGTTATTGTTTAAGTCTTCATCTTCTTCTTCCAGTTCTAATTCATATTCTTTATTAATAAATTGTTTGTATTTAATCGGATATAGTTGGGTTGATTTTTCTATTCGTTTCTAACATGTAATGGAAACATATTCAACATTGTCTCCTTCACTTATTGATATTAGACCTGTTCTATAGTTAATTATAGTTTTAATTATATCCAAATATTCATTGTCTAAAACTACATTATATTCTTGTAATTCAGTTACAATATATTGATACTGATTTTATTAATTCCAATTTTGACAGAAACGTTTTTAACTTTTCTTAATGAAATTGTTCTATTTCCAGTAATATCGACAACTCAGACATTACTTGATCTATCTATTAGTTTTCCTATTTGGTCTAGAAATTATTTTGCAATTACATATCCTTTTGATCTAGTATCAATAAGGATATTGACTTCATGACCAAATATATGAGCAGTAGAAAATAGAGCATCTTGTATAATTTCTTTTTTTGATTTATCTTGTTCTAAGCTATAATTTAATCCTCTAATTTCAATTATTTCATCATCATTATCATCCTCCAACCAAATATTGTTGATATCATTTTCTTCATTAAGATTATTAGTTTTAATATTTATATTGTTTTCATTATTAATATTTTTATTATTATTGGTAAAACTATTATAATAATTTATAATTTCTATTTCTAGATTTTGTAATATTCTATTGGTGAGAGCTTTAAATTACTGACATGCTCACTCTCAGGAGATGTCTTTTCTAGTTTAAAAAATTCATCCTTTGGTTGGCAAAATTATTATTATTATTATTCTGAGTATTAATATGATTTTCATAATAATTCAAAAAATTTTGCCTTTGCTCTTATCAGGTTGTTGATTATTATTATTATTGTTTGGAGGGTTCATCTGTTGATTGTTGTTAAATGGTCTAAAATTATTGTTATTATTGTAGTTGGGAGGTCTGTTGCTGTTTTGGTTTTAATAGTTGTTATTGAAATTTCTATTCGGTTGATAATTATTATTATTGTTATTTCTCTAGTTTTGGTTTATTTGACAATTTCTTGCCATATGACCAACTATATTACAGTTGTTACAAATAGGAGCTTGACATTCATATGCAAAATATCTAGGATGTTAACAACAATGATAAGCATTATTGTTGTTATTATTATTTCTAGGTCTGTTATTGTTTTGTTGCCAATTATTATTGTAGTTTTGTTGATTATTTCTATTGTTTTAGTTATTATTTTGATTATTATTATCATAGTTGTTATTACTTTGATTGTTATTATTGTTACAATTATTATTTGATGAAGCTTGGTTTTGTTTTAAAGATAATTGATTAAGTATTTGTTGTGTAGCAGCAAATAATTTTTTATTTACTATGCTTTTAACCGAAAGTTGTAAAGTAGTACTATATTGGTTTAAATATTGAGGCTGAAGGTTAGATAGTAGTAGTGAATAAGCAGATAAGGATCCTTCTTTTAAAAAAGCATTTTCAAGAGCTTTAGCTCTATTAATAGCTTCATCTAGATTAGCTAGCATAGCTAATTCTTTTAGAATATGAAACTTTTGTTGAAGTTTATTGATAAATTGCCTCATTTTATCAGTATCTGGGTATATATTTGTTGGGTCAACTTTTCTTCATAGCTCTTCTAAAGCTGCATTGTATTTCTTAACAGTTTTTGTTTTTTTGAGCAGAGAGAATAGAACTATTGGCTTACTCTATATTGGTTTCTAAATTGTCTCTCAAATACTATTCTAAAGGATATGTCTCTAGTATTTGAAGTGGTATTGTTATTCTAATAAACAAATTTTGTTCTATTTTGATTATACTAAGTAAGAGCAGTACTCTTTAAAAAGTTAGGTACTATAGCTAGTTTTCTAATATTACTAATATTATTAGCATTACATGCTTTTTTAAAAGCTTCGATCCAAATGATAGGGTTATCATCACCACCTTTAAATACTGGTATCTCAACAATTCTTTGTTCCTTAGGTTAGGTAAGACCAGTAGAGATTGCTTAATTTAATGTTTGAGTTAATTCAATTAGACAAGTTTGAATTAATTTTTGTAGAGATAGATCATTTTCTGCTTCTTGTCTTTTACCATCATTATTATCATTATTATAAATTCTGTTACAGCCATAGTTCAGAATATAAATTTGTCTAATTTTATTCTCAGATGCATCATCTCTAATGTTTAAAGTAGTTATTTGATCATTTTCTTGACCTCAAGAACCATTATTTACAAAATGGCTACTACTAGATGTTGGTTATTGACTTATGTTTGAAAATTGTTAAAAAATTATACTTATTTGATCAAAACTTTCTTCTATATTTTGTTGATATTGTTCAAATTCTTGTTCTCATTTTCAGTTAAATTTAAAGATCAATTGTTATTGTCTAATTCAGATCCTGATTCAAAGTCTTCTTCAGATTGTATTTCAGGTATAGTTATAGTAAAATTTTAAGAAGTCTCAAATTTTATTAAAAGTTCAGTATAAATTTAGTCAAATTCTTTATTAGAAGTATCATTGTAATATCATACAGAGGTTAAAATTAATTTTTTTTTTTTTTTTTTTGAATTTGCTGTATATATGATAAGATTAGTTACAGATTTATATCAAGATGGTATTAATTTAAACTATCTATTGTATCTTGTATGACCATCTAAGTGTAGCAAATCACCTTCT